ATCCACTCTGTGCTAACATGGAAATTTTATTCATTCTGGGAATCAAGCATTGAATTTGAAATATATTTCTTTCTTTTACATGTTATTTTGTGATTATCTGCACATATATGTGAAATTTGCATCATATATGAGTGCCTATTTTCACTGTTTAAAACTTTCTTAAAGATAAAATAATTGTCATTTACGCGTGTTCAGATTTTTAAAATATATTTTTTATCTAAATGAGCTCTTCTAAATTTGATAACTAATAAGGACCTTTATTGATTATACACTAGCACTGTGAAAGAAAGCACATATGGGATGTTTTATCTGTAGCTGGAGCTGCTGCTTTAGCTATCAAACTAATGGAACTATAATAGAACACTTAGTAAGAAAATTAATGGGCTGCATTCTTTCCTTTGTCACTAGACCTGTATGGCTCCATTAGGTCTGATTTGTTCAGTTAGAAGAAGAAAGAACGATGAATATGCCAGCACTTCACTATGTATTATCGCTCTTCTTGTATTCGTGAGCTAGTTGACATCTTGTTATGTCAACCTTCAGTGAGATATGTTACATGTGTTATGGTATGGGTTTATTTACAAAAGAATCTATTGATTCTCATATTTATGTTATTCTTAGATTGATAAAAGAAGGAGGTGGAGGATATATGTTTCTTCTGCCATTGTTCATTATCCCAGATACTTCTCTCAGAGGAATTGGTTTCTCTGGGATTTTACTGTAATCCACATGATTTTATTTTTATTGAGCCCTTTTCCTGCTACTGCACTTGATTGTACTTGTTTCAAAATTCAACCATGTACAAAAGATGAAATGTAAGAGCAATTGTGTTTACTTTCTATTAAAGTATGGATTTTTTGAAGAGACTAATTTACTGGGACAATTCTCTGTGAGACTGTTTTACAGCTACAATCTAATATCAAAACCCAGTGCCACAACCTTTCTTAAAGACAAGCAATCTAATTTGACACAGATAGCTATCCCATGCTATATGTTTTTGTCAGGGTCATAACTGAAACACTGCACAGTTGCCTAAGTGTTTCTATCTTGAGGATTTCTTTGAGGTTTTGGGGGCTGAAATATTCTAGAACTGTTTCTCACCTTTCTCATTACCCTGGTGCCTTTACACAATTTCAACATCTATGCAAATTTGTTATTCCAAGTCTTTCAGGATATCAGTACAGTCCAACTGCAGCTGACTGACAGATGGAATATAGGTAGCAGGGCTATGATCTACTAGATCTGGAAAAATACAGTGAAGCTCTATGCTTTCTAAAATGGTGCCATCTCTAAATCTCCCAGGATTTTTCCATATTAGAGGATTTTTCACCTAGTGTGCATCAGCACCTTTCAGAACTTCTGTGGGGAGTAACTGCTCTCCAGCCAGCACAACGCAGTTTGAATAGACCTCTGCTGCTACAGAATTACTCCCCCCCATCCCCAGTGACTTTGTGTCATAAAACAGAAAATTTGAGAAGAAAATTTTGAATACAGCTGATGTTCCATAGTGCTTACCATGTAAAAGGCTATATTTAAGCTTCTTTAGTGACCCCAGTACATGTAATGAGAATACATTCCTTCAGAGAATAGAAAGTATATTTTTAAACACTATATTTTTTGTATTATCTCTTTTCGGTTTGAGAAAATTTTAATTTTTTGTGTTTCCATGTTCATCATTGGACACAGCATTTCACCTGTGCAATATTGCTAAAATATAACTCAGCTTAGGAGGCTAAAGCAAAAGTTCCTCTATAAAACCAGAGGCTGATATATGCCTATTAAACTATGACTTTCTGCCTGTTGATGAAATTTCTCAAGTATGCAGGTACTGCTATTACATTACTCTTTCAGTGGTACTTTAGGGGATTTGTGCAATTTAAATATTTATTAATGAGACCAGAAGACAGGAATATTGAAAGGAATATTGATATTTTTCTAGGCTTAAGTATGATAAAACAAGATGATTTCTCAGATAGTATTTTTTAGTATTTCTTCTTCTTCAGAAGTATATTCATATTCAAGTACTTATTCTAGTACACCTTCAGAGAGGATTTTCATGTTGATCCAAAGACCAATCTAAGTAGTCTTTAATTCTATGATTCTATAGTTATTACTTCCAATTTGCAAAATGGCCATTTAGGAAGTCTAACTTTAGAAAAAGTGTTAAAGGCTTGGGTTTTTTGGTTCTACATTGCTGCTTCTCAGGTTATATTAAGTGGTGCTGTTCTTCCTTGTTGCCGTGTTGTTACAGCATTTGAAATCTTGGCTGTTTGAACTAGAGCAAAATCAAGAAGGTTTAGGAAAAAAAAGAAGCAAGGAGAAATCTGTATGGAATTCTGTGAACTCACAACTAGGAGCTGCAGTACTTGAATTTCGCACTTTGGCTAAACTTTACATGCTCAGGAAAAGCTGAATACCCTTGTTAGGGTAACATATCTAGACTTTTCCTTTTCTTCAGATCCAAACTGAACACCTGTATTTCCACAGAAATTTCTATGTGCTCCACTGCATGCTACATGTATACAGGATTCTTATCCAGTCTGAATGCTGCTTTTCCCATTGTGGTGATGTATTTTGGTACGAGGGGAAGTGAAAAGTATTGTCTCTAATAAAGCTGCATTTATCCCAATCTGTTAGGACAGAATGAGCAAGATTGTTGTAAATATCACTGCAGATAGCACTATCAGTCTTAGAATTATCTTTTCCTAATGCAGTGCCAGAACTAATCAGTCTCCATAGAACTAACATACTAAGAACAAGCAGACTCTGAGGAAATATGCTTTTATAACGGTAACAGTTTAAAACTGTATTATTATTCAAAACTGATTTTGCAGATAAAATTGCTGTGTTAACAGAGTGACTTCTCAGTTATTCAAATTAATATTTAAAGGTTAATTAAAAAAACACAAACACAAACCTTAACAGCTTATGGACAATAATATAGATTCAATTCAATATATTGGCTTGTATCCAGAGCAAGAATAACAAATTGATCATAATGTAGAAATAAACCCTAACTATTTAGATTGCTGGCATCTCCTACTCATGTCTATAAATATGTTCCTCAAAGAATGTATACCTTTAAAGTACTGATTTTTCCTATAGTTAAGACAGTGTTTCAAGGGAGTAAACTTATTTTTTTACTTAAAGGAAGAAAAAATGTCTTTAAGGGAAGTGATTAATTAATAGACTATTTCAGTACTTCACTGTTACAACAGAAAGTGTAGCCTAGCAGTTCATGCTTTGTCCATATCTAACCTTGATTAGGGTGAACTTGTAAACAAGGGCAGGTTATTCTCTGCAAACAATTCTGTTCTTCCTCAGTGAAATTCATGGCTGGTGTGGTAAGTAAAGAATAATAACAGGAGATAGAAAAAGTTATTAAGGTTGTTTGCAAAATTCAAACATAAAGGTGCTTTTAAAGGGAACCTGTAAGTTATTGTAAAAAAAGTCCTATAGCAGCAGTGTAATTTGTTATTTAGTGAAGCCTTTCCATCACCCAAAAATATCTGATTTTCCTTTTTAACTCTAGTCATGTTGTCCTGTAAATCAGGTTTATAGGGAGGAGATTTCTTTATTAGTTTCAGGGTAGATGATGGTCAGTAGCAGTAATCCTCTGGGCAAAATTATTCCCAGCCTGAGCTTAAAACAAGTTTTGATTCATTTATTATATTCTCAGTCTGCTTGCAGACCTCCTGCTGACATCAGTAATAAGCAATGTACTGAGAAAAACACAGAGCTTTGAAAATGAGATGTTATTTGTGTTTGAAAAGAGTATTTTAACATTTTTCTCTGTACTAATGCTGTCAAATTTTACATGCAGCAGTGGGATTTGCTGTGGTTTTATATTTTGGCACCAGCCTGTAATGTGTGTGCTATCATGCTGTATATTCAAGGAAAAAACATGGCAATATTATTTTTCCAGCCTGCTTTTTGGGCTAATTAAGATAAAAGATGTTGTGAATTTCATAAATATTAACCAAACTACATAGAATTATGTCAGGACACAAACAATGTTGCTCAATCCTATTGAAAAAACATTGTCACTTAGCAGCCTGTCCTTTCCTTAAATATAGGAAAAAAGCTGCAATGGATCTGGGAAACAAGTAGTCCCTGCAAGGGATCAAACAAGAGAAATACTGCAATTTTGGTGATCTACTTCAGATTCTTTTAGATATCATGGGTTATTAAGCAACTAAATTATATTCAAGTAATTCAGCACCTGCTTCATCAAGCTACAGAATATGGAATTAGCTATATACTACTTCAGCTTCACTGATTTGATTATGTAGTAGAGAGATACTGGTGAATATACATTAATCCTATGAAATTAAATCAAGAAAATTAGCTGAAGATATTCCTAGGGGACTATTTGATGTCCATTTGCATAAAATGCTGAGTTACCTGCTTACTAAAATCACTTTTTTTTTTTTTTAATGAGAAATGGAATGTAACAGAAGAGCTGAGTTTACATAAAAAATTAAGCAGCAATACACAAGTTCAAACCAGAAGTCCATTTAACTCCTGGCTCTGACAAGAGCCAATACCAGATCATTAAAGCATAAGAATAAAACAGGTATATATTTTTTTCCCGCTGTAGTTCCTAATATGGAGTATAGAGACTATACTGTTACTTTGTTCTTTGGATCCAGAATAACTAATACCCAAAAGCTTTATGGATTACAGAATGTCTCACCTGTTTTGAGCAGCTGTTTTTCATGAAAATGAAAAAACATTCCTATTTCCTTTTTGTAAAGACAGTGCATTTCAACAAGCTGTTTTGAATTCCACAAAATATTTTATCAAAAAAAAAAGAAAAAGAAATTATCACTGAAGAAGTATATGAAGAATTTTCCCCTCATTACATGCATGAGAGAGGACTCAGTTCTCTGCTTTGTATTTTCCCATTGCTCTAACAAATCATCACATGCTTTGTATATTTCACATTTTAATTTATTTCTATTATGTAATAATCTCTCTGGTTTATATTTTGGTTGCAGGTTTCTCTTGGACTTCTGCATGCTCGAGCTACTCATATTCTCTGGCCTCCACAACGCTGGCAGAAGTTACAGCCAGTGCTACCTCCAGAGCGCAAACCGCTGCACAGAGAGCAGGAGTGAGCTCAGTGTTCAGACAGGACACCACTGACATGAAGTTTAACCATCAAGAGTTGCAATGGTTATACCACCACCTGTAAGAGCTTTGCCAAGTGTGCTTTGATATCGGGTATCATATCGTCAAATATGTGCAACATATTACAATTCCAGCTTAAGTGTAAAGTTCTTCAGGGGTTTTTTGTTTGTTTGTTCTGTTGTTTGGTGTATTTTAAAAATCTCAAAAATTATATGTTAATTTGGTTTGAAATAGCTGGTTGTAGAAGGATTGAATGTTCATTTTTTTCTGGGAGCAGTAAAATGCTTGATTTATGTCTGTGCCTGTGCTTCTCTGGATAAGAAACTATTAAAACCTTCAGTAAAATATTTTTATGTTTTACATCCAGCTTGTTTCTTTTGTAACTGAATAGAACCTTTATTAATATAATTGATTGTATATGAAAAAAAACAACAAACCACTCAAAACATAATATACTTTGTCCTATAATTTCTGTTGCTGAACACTTTTTCAATACATTTTACGTTCATTATTAAACTGAGTATGTATTGCTTATTTCTAATTTCATTTTTGGGAGTCCAACTGTTTCTTTGCAAGTTTGTTAATTCTTCTCCTGCACATGATGGACTTGAAGAACCAATGATTCTCTTCCCTTCAGAGCAATCTTTTATGATTTTGAAGACTGTGTCTTAGACTCTGATGACTAAATGATAAACCCAAGCTCTTCCAGCATTTCTCATAGGTCATATTTTTCAGGTTTCTCTAAAATCATACAGTACATGAATGAAGGAATATTGTTTCCTATGTTTACAGTCTGTACTGCTCTTTATAAAGTGTGTATTCGTAACGGCATGCTGTTGATTCATGCTCAACTACAATCCACTGTAACAACTAAATTTTCTGTTAACTTAATCCAGCACGTGTAAAGGTAATTATTCCACTAGAGTCTCTGCTTGAATTCAGATCACTGCACTTTAAAACCATTCTCTAAAACGATGGCAGTCTTCACAACTATCTTCAGACTTAATAGGCATATTCTCTATTCCATATCAATTCATAAACATTTATAAATATATGTATGCAAGTATAAATGAATAAAAATTCCTTGAGGTATGTCACAGCTGAATACTTGGGACATTTAAACTTTCATAGCCTATATAAGGTTAGGTGTATGGTCTCCATACAGACAAAGGAGCCTCGAGGAACAACGGCAGATGTGGGAAGCCAAATAATATCATGATTTAACTCCTTTGTGCCTACTGCAAGAGTCAACAGATTGTGAAAGTCTCATCCTCAGCCATGAAGGAGCACTGAAGCCCCTGCACTAGCCCCCCGGGTGACAGCTAACACCAGGAGTCAATGGGGAGGATGTCATCCCATAGACTGGTGACATTGCCCAGAGGTTCATGTTTTGCTGTGGGGTGCAGGAAAGAGTATTTCAGTATTGTGCAATCCTTGTGGGATGTTTAGGAGACCAAAGTCAGTGAAATGGGGGTGATTTGGGGAGGATCAAGTGTGGAAAAATAGAGAGAGAAGAGTATGAAGGGAGTAAATTACACATAAAAGGTGCTGCAGAACTTCATTTTCACATATCTTTTCCACTCCTTTAGATTTGTTTACCACACAAATCAGAGAGAGCTTTGAACAAACACTTCCAGCATATTACAAGCAGGACAGCTGTCAGAGCATCATTCTGTAGCTGTGTTGCTCAGGAGCCTAGCAGCAGATGAACCTGCATGCTTTTGTGCAACTTTGGTGATCCTTTGGTATTTTGCTATATTATGGAATAACTCTTTCTCTTTGGAATATTTCACTATCAGTTCTATTAAGATCAAGAAAATTATTACTTTCTTCCTTCCCACACCAACATAGTCTATTATTATCATGGTCTATTTAGCATTTTGTTCAAGATCATATAAGATACACATGATAGATTTGGAAAAAAAAACCCAGAATTTCTTATATCACAGTCTACCTTTTTCTTGGCAAGACTGTCTGTCATTTCACTGTCATTCATTGTCTTGCACAGTTAATTCACAAATGTACCATTTTTGATATAAAATAAAAATCTAAATGAATGGAAAAGATCAGTGAAAACCAAAATTCCAAGTAGAGAGCTTATCCTTCCACTATTGCAAGGTGAGAGGAAAAGCTGAGTATTTTTAGAGCTAAGGTTTCCTGTGGCATTATAGGCTCATAGAAGATCTAATGAGGCCATAATAGTGGTAAATACTATAGAAAATGTCCTTCCATAAATGTCAAATTTCACCGAAAGACACTGGATTTGTGTAAATAGTATGCAGCAGCCCTGTCTCACCATGTTGTTAAAGCTGTGCTTTAGTGCAGAAATAAATTGAAGTTCTTGAAGAAAGCTAGAGGACAAAGGCTACAAGAAAACCACATGGCAGTGGCTTAGAGGATAGACTTGGAATCCCAGAGGTAGTAGAGCTGAAATCCTGATCACTGCATCTGTACTTCTTTTCAGTAATTCTTTTGTGTGAATTAAATGCTCAGACTATTAAATCTGGTCTCACATCTAAAACCTTAATTTCATCTAGTGTTTTGCAGTAGTTCTTAATTAAAAAAAAAAATATTGTGTTCTAGCAGTGCCTCTTATGACCCTGGATGCTGTGGTTTTATTTATTTTTCAGTTTGTGAAATAAAAGATGAAACCATAAGCTGGTTTATGCAACTGCACCTCAAGAGACTTTTACACAGAACATTACACAGAAAACATTGCCAATACTCAAACTACGTCACCATCCAAAGATCTTCTTAACTGAAATTATTAACAGTGTTGCTGGAAAAGTAGTTCACCTTTGGAACATTTAGTAGTTAAAAACAAAAAAGTTTAGAATGTTTAAAAAAATGTAGCAGCTGTATCTGAATATCACGTTATGCTGATCATACAGGGACAACAGCTTTAATTTTTAAAAAATATTTAATTTGTGATAACTTGATGGAACCAAATTAACCCACCATATCATGTACTATCTTCCTCAACCCACTCACAAATGTCTCAGCATTTTATTTAACATCTAACCTTTTCTCATATCCTTCTATTAAATGTCAAAATTGAATTTTACATCCCTTCGGAGCTAAATGTAACACACTCATATTTTTTTCTTATACACATTTCAATTAATAAATGAAACATAGAACAGCATTTCTTTAGCACTCCCTATAGATTTATCCATTTGATTACAGGTGTTAATCAAATAAATGGTCCTGAATTTTCTGTAGTTCTTTAATGCCTCAGGATCTAAGATCACGCTGTTGTACTTAATTTTCTAACTTGCTTTTAATGAGCCTGAAATTAAATAAATGTATTTCCTTTATTCTCCTACATTCTTCCCTCATTACGAATGGGTGGTTTCTAAATCTGACATGAAATATCTTAAGGGTTCAGATAAGTAGTCCATTTGTCCAGATATCCAGTAACCTGTTCCTGACAGAGGTTAGTAAGTTATACTTCCTATAATGAAGTTATACTTCCTATAATGAAGAGTTTGGAATAACCTGCCAAAAGGGAAATTACTTTCCAGCCCCAGGCAGTTAGTGTTATGCCCCGAGGCATGAAAGTTTAAATTTCTTACTTAAGAGTCCTTTCAGATTTTACTCAGCTATTTGCCTTTACAAACTGAGTCTTTTCAGATGTTGCAGCTCAAGTGAGCACTAAACATTTGCACAGATAATGAGAACATTCAGTTACATTAGAAAGGATAGTAGTAGTATTCTACCTTTTGTTGGTTAAATTATTCTCTTGATTCTCATGCTAATTAGTCCACATGCTCAATCTTTTTCTTCTTTTGAGTTGATGGGTTTCTTGAGATGGTGGTCCATGAATCCATGGTCCCGATCTCCCACTGCCAAACTCAAAAGGCCATGGACTGGCACTAATCCCTTGCAATTACAAAAGGTATGGAGAGCTGTGGAGCCAACCAGTGGACAAGAGACACAGCAGGTGACAAGAGACAACCAGGTGACACAGGAGGACCCCAACGAGTCAAAAGGAAGACCTCAGAATATGTAATAAATGCCCAGGTGGTCCTTTGTTCAGGGTCCCTCTTTTGAAGATATAAGGCCTGTTTCACTGATAAGACAAAGCCCCTGTTTCAGGACCCCTTTCTTATTCTCTTTGGGCAAATTGTTAACTATAACTCTTGAGATGTTAGCATCAAGTGGATATTGTACACAGAAATAATATCCAAGAAAGTACATAAAACTGTGAAGAACAAAGGGCAGAGGGAAGTTGAAATATCTTTTACCATGGAACTCCTAACTACAGGAATTTTTAACTTGTGACCAAGATAAGATATAAACCTTGGGAAAGAATATCCACAATGGGAAATAAATTTCTGTAAATACCTGACAGAACCTATAATAGCATTACCTAATAGCTAGTAGTGAGGTCAGCTGATTGTTAAGGCTTTATTTTCAGTGAAAAAAAAGTTGTTAAGTCTCCAAAGGGAATGAACAATCATGTCTAAAAATAGAACCAAGGTGAAGCTTGAAAAAGAGGAACTCACAAATACTGACAAGAATTATGATTAAGAAGGAAACTTCCACTCCTAGGCTTTAAACAGATTCCTTTGACTTTATTTTATCTATCATGAAGATATTTTTTCCTTCTGTCAGAGGTCTAGAGTGACAGAGGGTAAATGGAAAAGCCATACCACAATTTTTCAAGTACTTCTTCATGAAAATCAAGTGTGTTAAGGATATTATGTTCTCACACTGTTTTAATAATATTAAAAATATGTCTTCCATGCCTGAAGTTTGGAGATAAAATAAGTATCTCATATCTCATTTTTTCTTTACTTTTTTTCTTTTTTAATCATCCAAATCAGGTGTTAGCTGACAGAAAGTGTTGCATAAACAGCTATTGTTAAACCGTGTTTTCTCTCCTAAAGTATAACCATAATTTCCACTTGGAGATGATTCTCCTTCACAGCAGAAAACACTTCAGCGCTTACAGTGGGTCTAGAATCTAAAAGGACTATTAGGTCTACTTCATGAAGGAATACCAAATCCTCCATAGAACTGTTTAGTCCAGATTCACTTACAGAACTTCAGCCATTTAACTGAGACTCATACTAAGGGCTCTTCTTAAAAAAAATCTTAAAGACAGGTCACTTCAGGGCATGCTGCAGGACTTACATGAGTTGAACCACTCTCTGAAGGAGATAGTCTCTTTTCAGTGACTCTAAAAGAGCCTTTGGTTTTCTCAGTTAGGTTCTATTCATTTAAGTCTTGATTTTTTTTATATGATTTAGTACTTCACTCAACAGATTGCTACCAAAAAACTTATAGAAGTCAAAATCAAGGCCAAATTGCCTCCTAATTCTACTTGAATTGTATTATAAAGATTAATCTTAAAC